CTGAAACACACACAAGATCATCATCTAATGCTCCACACAAGATCATCATCTAATGCTCCACACAAGAGATCATCATCTAATGCTCCACACAAGAGATCATCATCTAATGCTCCACACAGGAGATCATCATCTAATGCTCCACACAAGAGATCATCATCTAATGCTCCACACAAGATCATCATCTAATGCTCCACACAAGAGATCATCATCTAATGCTCCACACAGGAGATCATCATCTAATGCTCCACACAAGAGATCATCATCTAATGCTCCACACAAGATCATCATCTAATGCTCCACACAAGAGATCATCATCTAATGCTCCACACAGGAGATCATCATCTAAAGCGCCACACAAGATCATCATCTAATGCTCCACACAAGAGATCATCATCTAATGCTCCACACAAGAGATCATCATCTAATGCTCCACACAAGAGATCATCATCTAATGCTCCACACAGGAGATCATCATCTAAAGCGCCACACAAGATCATCATCTAATGCTCCACACAAGTGATCATCATCTAATGCTCCACACAGGAGATCATCATCTAAAGCGCCACACAAGATCATCATCTAATGCTCCACACAGGAGACCATCATCTAATGCTCCACACAACAGATCATCATCTAATGCTCCACACAAGAGATCATCATCTAATGCTCCACACAAGAGATCATCATCTAATGCTCCACACAAGAGATCATCATCTAAAGCTCCACACAAGAGATCATCATCTAATGCTGCACACAGGAGATCATCATCTAATGCTCCACACAGGAGATCATCATCTAATGCTCCAAACAAGAGATCATCATCTAATGCTCCACACAGGAGATCATCATCTAATGCTCCAAACAAGAGATCATCATCTAATGCTCCACACAAGAGATCATCATCTAATGCTCCACACAAGAGATCATCATCTAATGCTCCACACAAGAGATCATCATCTAAAGCGCCACACAAGATCATCATCTAATGCTCCACACAAGAGATCATCATCTAATGCTCCACACAGGAGATCATCATCTAATGCTCCACACAAGAGATCATCATCTAATGCTCCACACAAGAGATCATCATCTAATGCTCCACACAAGAGATCATCATCTAATGCTCCACACAAGAGATCATCATCTAATGCTCCACACAAGAGATCATCATCTAATGCTCCACACAAGAGATCATCATCTAATGCTCCACACAAGAGATCATCATCTAAAGCTCCACACAAGAGATCATCATCTAATGCTCCACACAAGAGATCATCATCTAATGCTCCACACAAGAGATCATCATCTAATGCTCCACACAAGAGATCATCATCTAATGCTCCACACAAGAGATCATCATCTAATGCTCCACACAAGAAATCATCATCTAATGCTCCACACACGAGTTCATCATCTAATGCTCCACACAAGAGATCATCATCTAATGCTCCACACAAGAGATCATCATCTAATGCTCCACACAAGAGATCCTGATCTAATGCTCCACACAAAAGATCATCATCTAATGCTCCACACAAGAGATCATCATCTAATGCTCCACACAAGAGATCCTCATCTAATGCTCCACACAAGAGATCATCATCTAATGCTCCACACAAGATATCATCATCTAATGCTCCACACAGGAGATCCTCATCTAATGCTCCATACAGGAGATCATCATCTAATGTTCCACACAGGAGATCATCATCTAATGCTCCACACAAGAGATCATCATCTAATGCTCCACACAAGATCATCATCTAATGCTCCACAAAAGAGATCATCATCTAATGCTCCACACAGGAGATCATCATCTAATGCTCCACACAAGATCATCATCTAATGCTCCACAAAAGAGATCATCATCTAATGCTCCACACAGGAGATCATCATCTAATGCTCCACACAGGAGATCATCATCTAATGCTCCACACAAGAGATCATCATCTAATGCTCCACACAAGAGATCATCATCTAATGCTCCACACAAGAGATCATCATCTAATGCTCCACAGAAGAGATCATCATCTAATGCTCCACACGAGATCATCATCTAATGCTCCACACGAGATCATCATCTAATGCTCCACACAAGAGATCATCATCTAATGCTCCACACAAGAGATCATCCTCTAATGCTCCCGACAGGAGATCATCATCTAATGCTCCACACAAGAGATCATCGTCTAATGCTCCACACAAGAGATCATCATCTAATGCTCCACACAAGAGATCATCATCTAATGCTCCACACAAGAGATCATCATCTAATGCTCCACACAAGAGATCATCATCTAATGCTCCACACAAGAGATCATCATCTAAAGCTCCACACAAGAGATCATCATCTAATGCTCCACACAAGAGATCATCATCTAATGCTCCACACAAGAGATCATCATCTAATGCTCCACACAAGAGATCATCATCTAATGCTCCACACAAGAGATCATCATCTAATGCTCCACACAAGAAATCATCGTCTAATGCTCCACACACGAGATCATCATCTAATGCTCCACACAGGAGATCATCATCTAATGCTCCACACAAGAGATCATCATCTAATGCTCCACACAAGAGATCATCATCTAATGCTCCACAGAAGAGATCATCATCTAATGCTCCACACGAGATCATCATCTAATGCTCCACACGAGATCATCATCTAATGCTCCACACGAGATCATCATCTAATGCTCCACACAAGAGATCATCATCTAAAGCTCCACACAAGAGATCACCATCTAATGCTCCACACAGGAGATCATCATCTAATGCTCCACACAAGAGATCATCCTCTAATGCTCCCGACAGGAGATCATCATCTAATGCTCCACACAAGAGATCATCATCTAATGCTCCACACAAGAGATCATCATCTAATGCTCCACACAAGAGATCATCATCTAATGCTCCACACAAGAGATCATCATCTAATGCTCCACACAAGAGATCATCATCTAATGCTCCACACAAGAGATCATCATCTAATGCTCCACACAAGAGATCATCATTTAATGCTCCACACAAGAGATCATCATCTAATGCTCCACACAAGAGATCATCATCTAAAGCTCCACACAAGAGATCATCATCTAATGCTCCACACAAGAGATCATCATCTAATGCTCCACACAAGAGATCATCATCTAATGCTCCACACAAGAGATCATCATCTAATGCTCCACACACGAGTTCATCATCTAATGCTCCACACAAGAGATCATCATCTAATGCTCCACACAGGAGATTATCATCTAATGCTCCACACAGGAGATCATCATCTAATGCTCCAAACAAGAGATCATCATCTAATGCTCCACACAGGAGATCATCATCTAATGCTCCAAACAAGAGATCATCATCTAATGCTCCACACAAGAGATCATCATCTAATGCTCCACACAAGAGATCATCATCTAATGCTCCACACAGGAGATCATCATCTAATGCTCCACACAGGAGATCATCATCTAAAGCGCCACACAAGATCATCATCTAATGCTCCACACAAGAGATCATCATCTAATGCTCCACACAAGAGATCATCATCTAAAGCGCCACACAAGATCATCATCTAATGCTCCACACAAGAGATCATCATCTAATGCTCCACACAGGAGATCATCATCTAATGCTCCACACAAGAGATCATCATCTAATGCTCCACACAAGAGATCATCATCTAATGCTCCACACAAGAGATCATCATCTAATGCTCCACACAAGAGATCATCATCTAATGCTCCACACAAGAGATCATCATCTAATGCTCCACACAAGAGATCATCATCTAATGCTCCACACAAGAGATCATCATCTAATGCTCCACACAAGAGATCATCATCTAATGCTCCACACAAGAGATCATCATCTAATGCTCCACACAAGAGATCCTCATCTAATGCTCCACACACGAAATCATCATCTAAAGCTCCACACAAGAGATCATCATCTAATGCTCCACACAAGAGATCATCATCTAATGCTCCACACACGAAATCATCATCTAAAGCTCCACACAAGAGATCATCATCTAATGCTCCACACAAGAGATCCTCATCTAATGCTCCACACAAGAGATCCTCATCTAATGCTCCACACAGGAGATCATCATCTAATGCTCCACACAAGAGATCCTCATCTAATGCTCCACACAAGAGATCATCATCTAATGCTCCACACAAGAGATCATCATCTAATGCTCCACACAAGAGATCATCATCTAATGCTCCACACAAGAGATCCTCATCTAATGCTCCACACAAGAGATCCTCATCTAATGCTCCAAACAAGAGATCATCATCTAATGCTCCACACAAGAGATCATCATCTAATGCTCCACACAAGAGATCATCATCTAATGCTCCACACAGGAGATCATCATCTAATGCTCCACACAAGAGATCATCATCTAATGCTCCACACAAGAGATCATCATCTAATGCTCCACACAGGAGATCCTCATCTAATGCTCCATACAGGAGATCATCATCTAATGCTCCACACAGGAGATCATCATCTAATGCTCCACACAAGAGATCATCATCTAATGCTCCACACAAGATCATCATCTAATGCTCCACAAAAGAGATCATCATCTAATGCTCCACACAGGAGATCATCATCTAATGCTCCACACAGGAGATCTTCATCTAATGCTCCACACAGGAGATCATCATCTAATGCTCCACACAAGAGATCATCATCTAATGCTCCACACAAGATCATCATCTAATGCTCCACACAGGAGATCATCATCTAATGCTCCACACAAGAGATCATCATCTAATGCTCCACACAAGAGATCATCATCTAATGCTCCACACAAGATATCATCATCTAATGCTCCACACAGGAGATCCTCATCTAATGCTCCATACAGGAGATCATCATCTAATGCTCCACACAGGAGATCATCATCTAATGCTCCACACAAGAGATCATCATCTAATGCTCCACACAAGATCATCATCTAATGCTCCACAAAAGAG